TATAACATACACACTTGCGTGTCTGGGCAGTGAGTTTCCAGGTAAAAGAAAAGCGGCTCACTAAGCACACGCAAATTCCTTCACGGGGACCAGTGCTGCCCACAAGCAAGCCCACGTCCCCTGTGCAGCCCGAGGCCGGTTATCTATTTACTTTTTTGGATCTTTAAGGCTGAGACTTCTAGGGAGAAAAGAGCCCAGGCTTAAAGTCTGGGGACAAGATGAGGTCACTTTCTCAAATTATCTCACGTTTGCGAGTCTTCATTTCCTCCTGTATGATGAAGGGAGACGAATGCTTTGCTGGGTCATTGTAAAGGTTAAATGAGAATAAAATTGTTATTGTTATACAAATTTAATCTATGAAAGACTTGAAAACCAGATAAATCAGGGAGTAGCTATTTACTTACCAAAGAATTCATTACAAAATCGGACCAAATTTCTTTTCTTTTTAAAACACATTTTACGTGTAAGCCGCTCTTGGGAAGCATGGTTCCATACTCCGTGTTCACTAACCAAGGTCACAGCTGGCCAGTCCGTGGACTAGCCTGGCGGTTTTGCCTGGCCTTCCTGGACCACTGGACACCGAGGCTAAGGCCAGGGCGGTTCAGAAAGGAGAAGGGGAAGCTCAGCTAAGAATTCCGAAATTCAAACAACGAGTGGGCAGTGGGCGTGACATGCGCAGCTCTGGCTATTTCCACCCCACGCTGTAGACAGACTTCAAACCTCCAAATGGCTCCTGTCTGTACACTTCAGTTTTAGAATTAATAAACCGCATGGTTCAAGACGTACAACTTCAAACAGAATCCTAGAAGCATGACTGGATTTGATTACTGTCAATTAATTGAAACAAATGCTAAAATTGGTAATAACCATTCTCTTTCCCAGTCAAAAGTCAGCAGGGAATCATGGGATGGACATGGTACAGTGTAAAAGTGGGCTCTCGTTCTGACTCAATGTGCTCCTTCCAGAAGCCATCGACTCTGGTACGCCTAGGTCTTCGCGGCTGTCCAATGAGGAAGAGAGGTGCCTGAGGGACCTTCTGATCTAACGCAGGGATCTCCCAATCATCTGCACGTCCACTTCTGGAAGCCTCCAGCCCCGACTTCGCAGCAGCCGCACTGCGTACACTCAGAGGGCAGAGCCTGCTTGCGAGACTCATTGCCAGACGGAAGGGAACTTACCACCAGTGTGCTAGAAAAGAGCTGCAAGATGCCGTAGGAGGAGCCTGCAAAAAACATCAACACCAAGAGCAAAATCAGCCAGACCCTCACAGAACTGGACAACGGGATAACGGCTGCACAGAAATTAACAGAAAAACATTAGGAAAAAAAAGATCATTTTAAAAAAAGAAATTACCCCACATTTTTCTTTTCAATTGGAAGAGTGTAAGTAATCTAATTATCAATAAAAGGTCTTCAAAATAAAATGAAAAGTAAGCAGAAGAGAGACTAAAGGCAAGATCCCTTAGGACCTTGAGACAGTCCTTCCTCCGTGTGAGGTTCCCCGGAGACGATGCAGAGCCCAGGGGAGCAGAACCGAATCCACGTCTTCAATGTTAACATCGGCACATGCACACACATTGTTTTCTCAGGATGCCTTCATTTTATGAAGAACTTACAAAGTTTATAGAGTGCTTTGACCTCCATTATATCACATAACATGTCTCGTAAATAAAACCCTTGTGCTGCCAGCTGGTCCAGTATAATTCCAGATACCCTTTCTGAGGGAAATACAATGCTGGCATGGGCCAGCGCTTACTGAATATTATGTTCAAAACTGCCCCCAAACACCTGCTTATTGAGCTTGTGAATGATCAAGGACTAGAAGTCTTAATTTTTCATTAGCAGTCAAAGCCCTGCTAGCTCCTGCCTCTCTGGAGCATCAGTGACTCCTGGCTGGAGACCGGCGCACAGGTGGCAACACCTCACAGCACTCGCGTGTGCTGGCGCTGGCGCGGGAAGCCTGCAGCTGCTTTGGGAAGGCTCAGCCCACGCCCCCTTTCTGCACGTCTCAAAGCTTCTCAGAACACAGGTGGTCTAGGACAAGATGAGTGAAATATCTGAAATTCATTTCATAGCACTTTCAATTTAATTTGGGGCAGCATTTAGCTATGAGACTGATCTGCTTTCAGGTGCTCAGTCCAGGGATGTAAAATGCTGTGCTCTGAAAATGTGCAGTGCATTCACTCACCTGCTATTCCAGCAACGGTGGGACTTGCTCCAAGAGACTTGACGTGAAGGCTCAATAAAGGCACTACCATGCTGACACCAAACAGATCCTGAACAACAAAGCACTGATTAACTCTAATGAGAAACAGTCTAGGTGTTTTTAAAGTGGTGATCCTAACTACACACTGATTTTCCAAATAAAACCACCAACTAAAACTGAGCAAATAAGAAACCGTAAGTGCATTCCATATATGCTATACTCATCAGGGCCAAGTTATCAGAATCCAAATACAATATGCTGTAGCAGAGGCTCCCGTAAATGTGCGGGCCATCCTGACCTAGAATCCATGTTAACTTTAGCGTCTCTGTAACTGATCTTTAATATTCAAGAAGGATGTGCTACCAGAAGTCTCTCCAATAAGAAAACAAAACAATTTTTGTGAGCAGTCAAGTGAGAAAGGAGGTAGGGGTGATGTATATTTCTTGACAAAGCAGCACATACTTAGTAATACGCATTTCCTCCTGCAGTTAGGGAAGGTAACTGATCTGTGGTTTACAGCCTGAAAAGAAAGTCGCAGTGAAGCAAGAGGCTGGTGGATTAACGAAAGGCCACACTGCAGCTACGTCACAGAGAGTGCGCGCTCTGGGATCAGAAAGACCGTTCTCAGTTCCAGCTCCAGCTCCACCACTTACTAAGAAGCCTGTGTCCCGGGGAAGTTATTTAACGCTACCAAGCATCACTGCGGTCACCTGTGAAAAATGAGGGTTTCTACCTGCCTGGCAGAAACATGATGCACACTGAGACAGCGACTGAAGAGCTGACACACAATACAAGTTCAAACATATTTTCTCTTCAGTTCTGAGAGTAAGTACTGATCCTTCTTTTTTTAACAGATTGTTTATTTTTCCTTTAAATGTCGTTCTCATTCCTACTTCACTTGGTTACTCGCTACAACTGGTTTAGGAGAGGAAAAAAAACACATAGCACACATAGTGTCTTTTACAGTCAACCTGAATTTCTTTTCTTGTAACCCTGAACAGAAATACTTGAAATAATATATTTTTTTCCAGCCAATAATTCATCTCTCACTCCCTGACTCTCTTGGTAGCAGTATATTCATCTAATTATAGAAACATAAACTTCTCAATACACTTTTCAGTGTTCTTCCCATGGTTACAGCTTTAGATGGCCATATAAATATAATATCCAGTGACCTTAAATAGCTCATAAACCTACACTACCAGAACTATGGCGCACTATTTTGATTTTAAGATTACGGTAGTCCTCTCTTATCCATGGGGGGTGCATCCCAAGAGGGCCTGAAACCAGAGTGCCCACACTTACTAGTAGATGTTTTCCTATCCATGCATTCCTATGATCAAGTTTAATTTCTAAATTAGGCCCAGTAAGAGATGAACAACAATAACTAATAAAGCAGAACAAGGATAACAATACATCATAATGAAGGTTATGTGATGTTGTCTCTCTATAAACATCTGATGGCTCTGTACCCACCCTTCTTCCTGTGCTGCTGTGAGATGGTGCAATGCTATGTGAGGAGATGACGTGAGGAGAGATGTGGGCATTGTGACCTAGCACTGGGCCACTATGACAGAGACCTGACCATAAGCACTGTGTCATTCTGATAACCGAGAAGGCTACCAAGTGACTAACGGAAAGGTGCAGTGTCCAACGGGGATACACAAGACAATGGGATGATTCATGGCTAGGCCTGGATGAAGAGGGGTGGCGGGAGGTTTTAAACTGCGTGCAATTTACTTCTGGATTTTTCCACTTAAATTTTGTGGACCAACATTGACCACAGATAACTGAAATCATGGAAAGCAAAGCTACTGGTAAGGGGAAACTAATGCACTTAAAATTTCTTTTGAGTCTGAGCCAAATTTGGCAGGGGGCGGGGGTTACTGTTAGCTTTGTCCCATCAGCCTACTGATGTTTTATATCATTTAAGACTCAAAATACATTTTCTGGATCTTTAGTACAAGGAAACTCAACTATCCAACAAGATATGTTTTCAAAAAATATCCCCAGTACTGTTTGTATTTAATATTGGAATGGTTATTCTAAATAAGTACTGGGAGAGAAGTATTTCAGTAGGTAGGCCGACATCTATGGAAGATAGATATAAAGACACAGACTCATAAGCAATAATGGTGATCATACTATTTTAGTACTTTGTGAGCCTGAAAAATATCATCTTTTCCCAAGGAGGCTGGCTGTCGCTCCTTCCTCTGAGGAAGTGCTGCTCTAAAACTGTCTTCCAGTTTGACAGAAAAGGCAACTTCAAAGCTGGGACCTGGAAACCAGGAGCGAAGGGGCCACTCACCCTTCCACAGAGCACCCAGCTCTCAGTGCAAACCGGCGACTACATCACAGAGTCTGGGGATCTTTTAAAAATGAATCCTCACCTGACTGAAGGTGATGAAATGAAATACAAATCTCCCAGCACCTGGAGGGAAGAAGAGACTGAAATCGGAGGTCCCAGCAGCACCTTAGGGTGCTGACCACGAACGACCTCATCTTAGACTCCCTTTCTACACCAGCTAAAACCTAGCAGACAGAGAGCTGAAAACAGAACATTTGCGCAAATGAATTAACTTGTTCATTTCCTCTCCCATTGGAAATCATTTTCCCAAAAGTCTTAGGGGTCTTCACATCTCTGTATTAAAAATCATAACTAAGATATGTATAATATTCCTTAGCTGTTACCTAACACAGTCATTAGGTGCTTCAAGTTGCATATATTTTGTTAACAACACTTTCCATTTAAAAAATCCCGACTTTTAACTTTGGGGAAATCTTACATTTCCCCCTGAAGATATTAGAGACCTGATGATGCTCTTGAGTTAATTATTAAAATTAAGCTTTTACATCCCAAAATATTCTCTGAATTCTGGTGGACTTTCTAGATGAGGGTCCAAACCCTGTCCACCTGCAGGACCAGATCGGAATGCCATCTGAGATAGGGGAGCAGTAGCCGGGGCCCCCATCTTCTACCAGAAGGTATTTGGTGGCCAGCCCCCTTTCCAGATTTGAAGAGCCACTCACACTCCCTGGTTCTGGATTTTGGGTGACTGGACTGGCAGGGGAAGAGGAGCCTGCATCCTCAGTATGAGCTAAGAGAGACACTGGGTCAGAGGAAGTGCCAGGCTCTGAGCTCAAAGGCATTAAGCCTGGGGGTGGCTGCAGTATTAGTGGGAGGCTGGGATCCCTCAGTAAAGCTGCCCCCTGAGGGCTCTCAGCTCTGTGCTCACAGCAATGTGGGAAATATGCTTCCATTGTCTTAACAACTGTGAATTCAACCTCAGCCTTCGGGGCTGTGGAGTACCTCCCACTGATGAGGGGAGGCAGACTCAACAGCCTCTGGGTCCTCACCCAGCTCAGTGTGACTCAGGTCCGGACTCCAGAGAGGCACCTTTTGTTGTCGAGACCATTTGGGGCCCAAACGAGAAAATCCTACTGGGTCTCTGTCCCAAGCCGGGTTAGCTCACAACCAGGGCAACTGAACTGTCTAAACTTGGAAACAGGCATGAAAAGGTGGATCTGGGCTTCCTACAGATAGTGGTCCCAAACTAAAACACAAGCTTCCCAGTAAGGGTGAAAACTCTCCCAGGCACAGGTTGTACATATAGCAATGGGAGCTCCACACACCTAACACACAGCAGGTATCCAGGAATCCCACGAACAATAAATGAGTGGGTGGATGAATGAATTTACCTTACCATATACTCGGCTTTCTAAGCTGTCCATTAGACATGGACATTGTTAACTGTCCTATTAAACCAGAACACACACACGAGTTGTGACAAAGCCCTGCACCCCACAACATGTAAACAGTCTGTCAAAAGGGAGAAGTGTATAATTCACGGTGACTTGCATTTGTAAACATCCGGTGTACCAGGAACCCTGATGGAAACGTGCCAAGCGGGCTCATCAACAGCAACTCCCCAGCCCCGGATGGTAAAAAGACCTGTGTGTTCCCGAGGCAGCCCCTGCAGGGGGCTCTCCCAGGCTTGCCCAGGAAGCCTGCTCTCCACCTCGCACGCCTGGCACCTGCCACGTCAGTGAACACCTGGGCTCAACCTCTGCGGAGGCGAGGTCCAGAGCCACACCTGAGGCTCGGGAGTCTTCACCACCAGGGCGGCCCGGGCCCAGGGAAAGCTCCAGGGCCATCAGTGCTGGGGCCAAGTCAGAATGCAGGGGTGATGGGGAAGCAGGAGGCCTGATTGGCAGGGAGGCAGCACCGGCACCAGCGGATCTAGGTGCGCAGCCCTGGCTGAGCCTTGCAGGCAGTTAGACCGGCGGAGCAGGGACAGTCAGGAGCCTGGGGGGAAGGTCGCCAGGGGCGCCGCGAAGGGCAAGTCTCACAGGTGGGACCTGCCCCCGGTGGCCTTGTCCGCTCCTAGCAGGTCACTGGCCCGGCGGTTAGGACTCCTGACCTATCACATCGCTGGTCATAGGTTCAGGCCGCTTCCGGACCTTTCCTCCCGGGCCTGTGGTTACTCATTAAAATAAAGTTGTGTGTGTGCTTCTATCTGAACCTTGGCTCTGAAATGTTTCTCAGCCAAAACTCCCAGACAGGGGTCTAACCTGGTGCCCTCTGAGGCTAACCCAAGCCCCGGAGCTTCCAGAGAAAGCACCTGATCAGGTCAGCAGTCTGCGCGGGCGGCCGCACTCACCAGGAAGCCCACCAGGTAGAGACAGCGCAGGAAGAGGGGGGCTCGTGACGCACCGGG